TAATATATATAAAACCTTACCTTATGATCTTTTTCAAGCTGTTGATTTAATTTCTTCCAACCCAATTTATCATAATTAACTCTATAATATCCAGTCATATTAAAATTTAAAATCACCCAATCATGGTCAGAATCTGAAACTTGCATTTCAGGGAATACTTCTGCAAAGGAATATATGAATATTTTGAAATGGCACTTTAAAAAAAAGATTTTAATACATTTTTATACTAGACAGCATTCATTCTAAACTTCCCAAAATAAATAACAGACATCAAAAGGTAAAGGAATTCTGAAATATGTATTTATGTTCCCATAGAATTATTATTATTATTTACAAATAATAGCTTCTGATTTGGCCTTTTCTTCAAAACTATATGCTAAACAAGAAGCATGTAATATTTTAGTTTAAAATTAGATAGCTTTTCTAAAGCTAAACATTTCAACATTTCATTCTTTGTCTTTATACATTTTATTTTCTGCCTTTACAAATACATATGTGAAAATGTTTTAACTTACTGCTGCTTTCATCTAGCCAGACTAAAGACTGTATAGTTCCATTTTTCATCCAAAGAATAGGGACAATCCATGTGTCACTTATTGGAACAAAAAAAATCAATTACTTTTCACACATAAAGAATACAAATTCTGATCCAATATTAAATGAGATGACAAAATAGCAGACAGCACTTGAATTCTCTGACCCTTCTCTGTGGATATGCAGGACTTTGTTTTAGGATTATTTGCTATGGTTCTTTTAATCTATCCTTACTTTTCCCTCCTGTTTTAGAGACTTCTTTCTACTTACAACTTAGAGAGCTACTTAAATTGTATTGTATCTGAAATGTTCAAGAGCTGTTTGTATTAAATTATAGCCACCTGGCCTCTCCCAAAGGTAATTCAAAGGCTACAGACAAACTTAATTCCCTCTGAGCCAAAAAAAGTGAAGAGCAATTTAAGAAGAAAAAGATTTGACAAACATTTCAAAATACTTTTCGGTCCCAATCGTTTTCCCCATCTGAGAAGTGCTGACCAGGAGTCAGTCAGGACACTCCTATTTATTGAATAGCTCCATTCTTTCACAGCGGCGGACGTGATCTGGATGAAATTGCAGACTACAGGGAACACATTAGTCATCTGAACAGACTCACTACTTGGGGTTTGGAGAATATTTCCCAATCTTGTTCAAATGCTTACAAGCCTGGTTTCTCAAAGACTTGAACAGTAGGTCTATGTTTATTTGCATAGCTAAAAAATATACCGCTTCTTAAACAATCACAGAAAAATATAATGAGAAGGAATTTTTGGATCTCCTATTTCTCTGCCTCTTGCATTTTAAAGAAAGAGTAGGCATACTGGAAATCTTTGGTGATGGTATTTGAAAATTAGTTACTCACTTATTTGATACTTCCTATAAGAATATGTAAGGATCAAAACTAATACATTGAAAATTACATAACAAGTAAAGAAAGGGTAAGGAAGAGAAAAGTGACTAATGCCAGACTGCTTTATACTTATTTAATTTATTTTTACACCAGTCTTCTGGGCTACATGTTATTACAGTCACTTTATAGAAAGGGCAAATGAAGTCCAGAGAAAGGCAAATGAAACCCAGAGAGTTTAATAGAAACTTATCAGGTTCGAATATTGGTGAAGTCAGTATTTAAACACAAGTCTAACTGAATCTAAAGGCCATAACTCTACTATAATAGGTAAGGCTGTAAATACCTCCTCACACACACACACACACACACACACACCCCTATTCCTCATATACACAGTTACCACTAATTTTCATTTCTGAAGAAGACTACCTGTGGCTCTGTGTCATTACGCCTTACCCAGAATCTCAAATAATTCATCATCTCTGTTTGAAAGACAAAGAGGAATACAAATTATCACTGGTGTGTGTGACCCTAATTTCCAGGAAGGGCACTACATAATTCCTGAATTCCTAAATATAGGTGTCTGGCCTTGCTCAGCACATTAGAGCTCTGGTCCATAGGTAGTGAATGGAGCCCTAAGTCACTCTCTCTAAGCACCCTCAGAGATCAACCCTAAGGAAGGTGTGGACAAACAAATCAACCTACTTGTGGGTTAGATGTGTCTGATTTTTAACCTTTCCAAGATAAAATGGCTCCTGTTTCATGACACCAGAGGATACATTTAAGGTGATAACTGGAAAACCGCTCTTATGTGTCCAGCTGTCCATTATAGTTTTTACTGTTGCAGGCAAAAGAATTTTACTCTGGTCATCTATAGCCTGTTTTAAGAGAACATCACAAAAGCAAATAGATTAATCATAAAAATCTCTTGAAGTGGCAATCTATTAAAATAAATTAGTTATTCTACTCCTCATTTTTATAATAATTCTCAGTGAATGAAATTCTGGGCCAAATTCAGAACTTTGTTTACTTCTATATATAAAGGGTTCCTACCTTCATTCATTCATTCAATACATATTTATGGATCGAATATGTGCAAGATTGGCAGTTTAAATCCACCAGCTGCTTCTCATAAACACTATATAGGATCACTATAAATTGGAACCGACTCGATGGCACTTAACAGCAGCAACATATGCTGAGCTTTGTTTTGGGTACTGAGAATACAGTAGTGACAATAAAAGAGACAATCCCCAACTTAAGAAAATTTCACAAACAAGACTAAATTGTTTCCTGTAGCATTGCTGTGTATGCAGATCTTCAGATCTGTGCACTTCATCATACAAAATCACTAAGCAAATATGTTTCAGAAAGTAAGACAATTACCATTTGAAAATGCCTCCAGAGATCATCCTGTTCTGCATTTGAGTAAGAAAATGTCTCCAAATATGACTAAAAATAGAAAAGTTAAGGTTAAAATAAATAACATGACAAAATAATTTATGCTTCCTGTCATCTAGATAACAACAATTCTGTAAACTCACCTTGAGTGCACCAATAAACAAATTCTCATTCAGGAAACTGGAAAGCATCCGGGCCATGGACGCTCCCTAGGACATAAGAAGCTGTCCATTATTGGGATAAAAGTCAATGTTCACGCAATGACACATTCCATCTTTTACAAGCAATTTCCTGGCTGTGCTCCTAATTGCATTTTCCACTCTAGTTCAATGTTTGCTTTACTCCAAAATACACTAATACAACAATAGAAGGTCACTAACTAATACATAATAGGTGAGTAAATGTCCAACATAAAAAGGAGTTCAGATCACTTTTGTGGCCCAATTTTCAGCCAAGCAGTAGATAGAAATATAGAGGTTGGGGGGACAACAACACTAGTTAAGTATGTTCACCTTGGAATGATCAATCATTCAAACCCAAAAGTGGAGAAGGGATTGGGAGGTGGATGGAATGGAACTCAGAATCATAGGGAGGAAGCAGGATAATTGTTGCATGGAGGGGATTGCAATCATTGAGATGAACCATGAAAGTGTATGATTTATTGAATGTAAAATTGATGATCTTGTTTGTAAACCTTCAGTCAAATCAGAAAAGGTTAAAAAAAAAAAAAAAGAATTTAGGGTACACAAAAACCTTTTTACATTGATAAATTTCCATGGCAAAGATAAATCTCAGACAAAAGGATTCATCTTAAAGTAACAAGTTGTCTAAGCTTTATATATAATGGCACATAGTATTGAGATCCTTATAAATATTTACTAGGAAAATTAATTTAGGGAGAAAGATGAGGTTTTCTGCTCCCGTAAAGATTTATAGCCTCAGAATCCCTATGCAGGGTTGCTATACCAATTCTGTGACACTTAACAGCAACAACAAGATAATTGATTTAAATACATTTTCTGAAACTCATCTACTGAATACAATTAAGGTTCTTTGTATCAAAGATTTTACTGTCCGTGTTAAATGTTATCTAGTCAGTTCTGACTCACAGCAACCCTGTATAGGGTTTTCAGGGAGTGCCTGGTGAGTTGAACTGACAATGTTTTGGTTGAAACTGACTTTGTGGTCCATTGCTTATCCTATAGTCCCATACCAGGACTTCAAAGGTCTTATAGTAGCATATTAATCTATGACTCTTTTACCCATATAAGGGGTCATGTTGGCACAATAGTTAAGCATTCAGATACTAACCCAAATGTTGGCAGTTGGAATCTACCAGTCATTTCTCTGGGGATAAAGAACTGAAGATCTCCTCCAGTAAGGACTGTTGTTGTTGTTAAGTACTGTCAAGTCAGTTCTGACTCATAGTGACCCTTTATAGGGTTTCTGAGGAGCGGCTGATGAGTTTGAACTGCCAATCTTTTGGTTCAAACCGACCCTGTGGTCCAGTGCATTAACCCACAGTACCACACCAAGACTCCAGTAAAGATAGATTAAAGCCTAGAAAATTCTATGAGGCAGTTCTACTCTGTCACTATGAACTGAAATGGCACACAACAACATAACCCATTTAATGCAACTTTTAGAAGAGTGAAGGAGAAGATATATAACTGCTTTTACCTTATTGTAAGTAAATAAGTCAAAGAGTTCATTTATTTCATTCGTTTCTGTGAAATTTTCCACTTTCAAGGACACAGCTCTTGACACCAAGGCGTGATCTTCTCTGAGGACACCATGTAAAATGTTAGAAAAAAAGACCTCGTTCTATAATAGGAAAGATTGAGTCACATTAATTTCAGTAGTATTACAGAAACACACATTTTAATGTCCCTAACAAGCTTACAGGACTTTCTGCTCCCATAAATATTTACAGCCTCGGAAACCCTGTACAGGGTCGCTATGAGTCAGAACCGACTCCACGGCACATAACAACAACAACAAACAAGCTCATCAGCTGCTCCACAGAAACCCTATACAGTGTCTCTATCAGTCGCAATCGACTCGATGGCACTTAACAACAACAACAAAAATTCTTTTGAAACTAATAGTAAAGAAGGAAGAAACAGTTATCAAGAAATGCTCTGTGAATCCCAAATGCTAAATAAGTCATTTCCTTAAATAACAAAACTCAAGTTTTCCATCTCATTCTATAGCTTTTCTTTTTAGTTTTCAAAAAAATAAAAATTTCTTGTCAATTTTAAAAGTTAATGGGTTTGAGAGAACAAACAAGATGGCGGATCAGGTGGAAGTGCAGTAAAGGAGCTCCGCCAGCAAAAACACAGAATACTCGACCAAGCAGGCTCAGGGGATGGTCCCAGAACTCTGAACCACATATAAAGGAATACTTAGAAGGTTGGAAGGCTACAGCTGGGGAATTTGTGGCAGAAGCAAGAAATCCATTGATTTCTAGTCTGGGATGCTCGGCTGCTCCAGGAGCCGCCATCTTGGGTGAGACCAAGCAGGGATAGGATTGGAGCAGCCACAGATACCTGGCAGAACCACAGAGGTAAAGGTGTGGACATTCTTTTCTTTAGGTAGCTGTTCATTGGTCCCTTGCTATCTGTGCACCTCCATTCTGGTGACTATAGGGGTGTCTGAGCTAGTGGGCACCCCAGCCCCACCCTCGGAGGGTTCTACTAAGCATGCACATAGATCTCCTCGAAATTTAAAGAACCAGTTTCCAATTAAAACCAAACGGCAATAGCCGGCCCTGAACTGTTTACAACTAGAAAAATGGCCTGAAAGGGGATGATGGAATGGAACAAGCAGACAAAAAAGGGAATAAACCAAAAGTTAAATCCTAAATTACATCAAAACGACCAACAGTGGCATCTTGAAATTTCTCAAGAAGAAGAGATAAAAGGGAAGCCCATTTCCTGATCACATCTACCTGGAGGCAATCAGAAAGCATAAAAAATACCAAAATACATACTTGTCTAAGTATTAAGGCCACAGATAACTCCTGAAAATGTCCCCAAAACAGAAGCAGATGACCATATCTGCACATGCCCAGAAACAAGTTAAAGTGACTAAGCCAAATGAGCTGGAAGTAGACCTACACTCCATACTGGAAGATGGGGAGGCTTTGGAAATGCCAGGGAAGGAATTCAGAAAAATGATAATAAAACGTATCAAAACACTATACAATGGAGTTGAGAAAAATAAGGAAGAAATCAAGAAAATGCTATAGGAACAATCAAATAGATACAGCATTGGAAACAATTCAAAACCTACAGAAAGAAGTCCAAACGATTAATAATGGAATATCAGAAATGGACAATGCACTGAAAGGGCAAAGGAGTAGAATTGAAGAGATTAGAAGCCAGAACTAGTGAGCTAGAAGATGTATCTCTCAACACTACTAAGATAGAAGAACAAATAAAAAAAAAGGATAAAAAAATC